CATGGTAGATGCCCTGGGCTTTGGCCACCAGCATGGCCTGCAAATGCTGCTGCAGACGGGGTGGTTCTTGGGCAGACGGGAGGATTTGGGGAGGCTGAAGTGAAGCCCCCGGGTTTTGGGGCTCCCTCCAGCATCACGCAGGGGTGGGATCAGCAGAGATCAGGGACAGCCCTTGCCAGGGGATGGAGCAGTCTCATGCCATGGGGGTGTGCAGCAAGTCCCTCATTTGCTCCCAGCTGTGACGAAGGGCTGAGACAAGGCAGGCGAGGGGTTTTCAGACTAATCGCCCTCCAGGCATGCTGTCCCCATGCCCTGTGGGGAGGAGACCCTGGCTGGTCCCCACTGCCAGCGCCCATAGCACGAAGGCACCAGAGGCCATCTCCACCACAGAGTGGTGGCAGGGGGAGGGTGCGCACCTCCTCGCACATCGCTCCCAAAATAGATCTCATTAACCATCGCAATTAACACGAGCCAGGCCCTCTCTCCTCCTCATCACCCCAGCTAGAGCCATACATAAAAATAACTGTTTATTACACAGCAGGCAGAGCCCAGCTTATCACTGCAGACAGGAAATTGCTGTGCAGAAATCGCATGTTTCACTTTTAATAAGTTTGGCAATAAAACGTCTCGTCAAATGAGGCCACGACAGGGCGATAATGAAGCTTCCGCGTGGCCTGTAATTAGTTACAGCTCTCCTGGGGGTGAGCCAGAAAACAGGGAGCGAGGGGGGAGCCGTATGGCAGCATCATCTGCCCTCCCCTCCTGCTTCAGGAGCATCCCTCCTTATCCCTGGCAGCATCCCCAGAGCACCGGCACCCGCCGGGACATGGTTGAGGAGGAGGTCTGCCCATGTTGGAGGGATACAGGCAATTCCCACAGCGTGGTGGAGGAGATGCCAGAGGAAGAGGGAGGCTGTTGGTGCTCCAAGGGAAAGGAAAAGCTTTTCTGCCTTCCAAGCAGGACTTTTCAGCACTGAGTAGTCTTCAAGGCTGGGTGGGTGCTGCCGCACCCAGTCCATCCCTGTCCTTAGTCAGGAGGGGTATGGTCTCCTGGAAGTTTTGCAGAAGCGGGCTCAGGACAGGGAACTCAAAGACCAGCTATGGCTGAAGCATCGAGGGCATAAAGCAGGAATGAGGAAAGCATTCATTGACTGAGATCCTATGGATACTCCTGACTTATTCACAAAGGTCATTGCTGATGGGAGCTGCAGAAACCCTTGGCTTCTGCGGCCAATGTTAACATCCACATGCTTCTTGCCTTCCTGCCCTTCAGGTTTAAGGTGCTTGAGCAGGAGTCTGAAACACATGCCCAGTCCCAGCCTAGCTCTGCTGAGCAGAGAAACCAAGGACTGGCCAAGCGTTGGAGGATGAACCGCTTTGCCCTCTTCAGAGGGGACTGAGGCATGGCAAAGGAGAGGTCCCGTGGGGACCCCTGTGCTGGACCTCTGCTACGGAGCAGGAGGGCTGCAGCACTCCGAGACCCATTGTGGCAAAGGCCAGGGAGTGACAAGGTGCCTGTCTGTTCTGATGTCCTCATGCTGGTGACCTCAAAACGGCAGCTGGTGACATCTGCAGCCAGGCAGCACCAGCTGCCTGAGCCAGTCCCTTACACCGATGGATGGCAGTGGTGTTTCCAGGTACTCCCTTCGTGATGAGACTTTCTTTCCCTAAAGAAAACCAGGTCAAGCAAGGGACCCATCACTGCCTTGACCTATTTCTGTAGCTTCCCAGCTTCTGTTTGATCTTCTAGATACTGGTGGACACAAACCAGCCCTGCCACAAGCCTATTCAGAGTGATGGGAGCAGCTCGAGGGAGCCCTTGTGGGGTGTCCCAATCCATGGGGGGGTGATGGGCAGGCACCATGCAGCCTGCAAAGTCCAGGATGGTGAAGCAGTCCCTTATTACCCATGGAGGCAAAGCTGGGTCCTTGCTGCCTCTCCACGTTAGCTTATCCCTGAGCTCCTCATTCCCACCAGCCATCCCCTATGGCAGGGAGGTAACATAGAGGTCCAGGAGACACAGGTGCAACCAGCCCTGCAAAGACAGGCATGAGCTCTGGCATAGCGGTAATAGGAGACAAAATGAGCCATGTCCAGGCTGGGATTGGGAAATGAGGTGGTTTAGAGTCACAGCAGGAACATGCTGGCACTGTCGGGGACCGCTGGCAGGCTCCCGGGTGGGCGGGAGGCTTTGTTTGCCCGTGGCACTGCTCTCAGGGAGTTTACCTGGAATTACTGATCCGCATTCATAAACATGATCACGTTAATTGGCTGCCGCGGCCGCAGCCGCCATCTCCCAGCGCTGGGACTTCATCTCCCTTCCCATCCCTAATGTCAAGATGTCTCTGTTCCTCCATCCGCTCGGCACCACAGCCAAGGACTGAGAATCAGTTGGAGAAGAGAAAGAGGCAGAGGATGGGTGGGTCCTCGAGCCTGGAGCTGGTGACAGACACCCACTGCCACCACCTCCGCTCTGCAAAGCAGCGCCTTGAAAATAAACCGCAGATGCCTTCTCGAGGGGACTAGGAGCTCTGCAGGAAGTCCTGTAGCCCTGGGCAGTGATGACCCAGGGACAGGCACCTCGGCTGGAGACCAGCTTTTATTGCAGGAGCAATGACCAGGTGGCAGGAGAGGGACCAGCTCCCAGCTGAGGACAGAGCCACCCAGACTGCTCAGCCTGAGATCAGGCTGGTGCTTGTCTCGCTTGGAGCGGGGCCAATCACTTCTAGTAAATTATTCATCTGACAAATTTAGCCTGTTATTCTAGTCGTGCTCTACCCAGAGTTTTACAGATTTCGTTATTATTTCAAATTGTGCAAACACCGCAGAAACCTCTCCCGGGTTCTGGCACGCTCTGCCTTCATCTTGGCTCTCGGCTCATCTGTCACATCTGAAATGGGATTTCTACCATCCGGTGCCAAACCCTCCATCCCCAGTGAGGCCACAGGACCTTGTGGAGACGAGTCGCATTCCTGTTTGGCACAAGGCTTCTACCAAAGGGAGAGCCATCTACCATGTGAGAACCATCTACTGATGACCCAGATGTCAGTGGGATCAGAGGAGGCCACAGTACACCCATGGACCCATTCAAAGCTATCTTGACTTTTTTCCACCTCTGTCCTTGCATCTGGGGTAGGGTAGAATAATGACACCACTGTTCCCTTGCAGCCTGGGCTATCACGACCTTAGGAACCTGGAAAAAGCTTTTCCCTTCCTCCCCTTGTGCCCATAATTTCTCCTGTTGAGGTTTCTTTCTAACCACGAGGGTACAGCTAAAACTTTGCACTGCCAAAGAGAATCACGTGTAGCCTGGGAAGGAAGGAGTCACTCAGCAAAGATGAGGGGAGATGGATGGGTTTGTTGTGGATGAGCCAAGACTGATCAGACTCACGAGTGCAACAGCACCGCATCCAGGGAGAAGTTATCAACCAAGAAGCACCAAACAGTCGAGGTACTTGAATTTCCCATCCCACCGCAGGGTGTGAGGGAGAAGAGCAGCCGGAGATGCCACCTCCTCACCCGCCCAGATCTGGCAGAGAAATGCCACTGGCAACATGAGCCTCTTTCTGTCATGCCGGGGCTCAAGCTTGTGCCCACTCGTGCAGTGACGGTCAGCTCACACAGTCACTTGGTGGGAGAGAAATGGGCTGAAGTGGTCCAGGAACCCCAAATGAACCGCCCTTGAGAGCTGTGCTGTGGGGTTTCACCAAAAACACCATAAACAAGTAGAAATATCTACATAGAGACCTGCCAGGGCTCTCTAGCAAGTTATTGTGGGACACTTGAACTACTCTCATTAGAGGGAATTAATTAGCTGAACAGCAGGGATGGAAGCAATAGATGCAAAACACAGAGCAACAAATTTAGGGGAGAAGTTTACTAGCCAGAAGAAAAACATAAAAGGAATAGGAAAAAATAAATTGCAGGGTGATCTAAATCTTTTCTTTCAGACCAGGCAGAAGCAACTCCTGGGTGGCAAAAAGGGGGAACAACAGAGCATGAAAACACTTGTCCTGTGTCCCCGCATCCCTGCAAGCCCCCTCGGTGGTGGGGAGAGGGGATGCTCAGCGTGGGGCCCTGTGGGACGAGGACGGACATGGTGCCTGGCTCCCTCTGGAAGACTAGTGATTTTGTTGTTGTATGGCTCATCCCACCACAACAAGTCACAGTCTGCCCTAGGGCGCATGGCCTCTCCGGCGATGCTAAAGGCACAGGGACAAGCTGGTGACTGAGGCTGCCCGTGGTCCTGCTCCACTTCTGACCACCTCGGCCGTTGCTTTCGTGAGCATCGAGAGCGAAACAACGAGAGGCCGGTCTGAAACCCTATCTGCACCCGTGCCCTAGCCAGACCTGCCCCCCACAACCCTGGGGAGCACCACGAGAGAGCCTGGAGGATGCCAACCCCATGCTGCAGTGCCTCATTCCACCCTGCAAGAGTGGACCTGCCCCAGCCAGCAGCCCGAGGGTCCCTGGCAGGAGAAGGGATACCCACAGGGTCAGCACGGCACCCCAGCAAATGCACAGCAAAACTGCAGCATATTGGTGCTGGGCTAAGCTCCAGGGCATGGGGCTGGGTACCCTGGTGTGCATCCGCACCACAAACCCATCACCCAGAAAGGGTCCCTTCCCACCAGGGCCAGAGGTGGCACAGACTAGAAGCCCTGAGCAGCACCCAGGTCTGGGATGCAAGCACCAGATGTACTGCTCCAGGGTCCCATGGCAGCACCAGCACCTCTCGCTTGCCGAAAGGACATTATTACTATTATTAGCATCATCACCACACCCCCACGCCCACCCCACTCCCCGCGCTATAGCCGAGGCGCCTTATAGGGAGACGGCGGCAAGCCCGCTCTACGCTGCTGCTGTTGTGGGCACCGCCCCCTTTGCATGCAAATTGCTCCTCCCGCGCAGCCAATGGAGAGACAGGGGGCGTGACCACGGCGGGACTTGCCCGGGCATGTGAGCACGGCGGTTTCCGGGCAAGACACGTGGGAGCTGCGCCGGGTCCGGTCGGGCAGCGGTGGGTCTGGGGGCGACA